AGAGGGAACAAGGAATCCATGTTTTAAAAATATCTTATTTGTAATTTTTCTTGAATAAGTATATGTCACAAATAATATGCTGTTGGCTATATTTTAAGTAACCGAATAGCACATTGACTTTTACATATATGATCTTTGCTAAAAATAGATTATTTGAAATTATTAATGTGAGGGTACTAGATATCATTATGTTCCTTGCCTACAAAATAATCTGAAAATAATAAATTTATCTTAATACCACTTCCAAAGATTCCCCCAAAGAAAACTTGGTGGAGCATTAATTCTTATATAACAGCTGATTAGTTCTATAAATATTCACAAACTCCACTTTTATGTATATGGAATTTTAAAATGCCACCTATGCTTCAAGCTTTTTGCCCAGACTATATTAGATCCTCACAACAATTCTATAAAAGAGGTGCTATTATACCCATTTCTCATATGGAGAAACTGAGGTAAACAGAATTTAAATAACTTATACCATATGGCTGGTAGGAAGCAAAGTCAGGATTTTAATTGTCCTTTATCTGCCTCCCCAGCCCACTTTTTCTACTGACACTTGATTCACTATATTCATAAAACTTAAGTAAGATTGTCTGGTTTGAAATACTATTTGAGTAAAACATGATATTTCATGTGGTTGGGCAGTGTACATTAAGGATAAAATTTCCAGAGTTCCCCAGTCTCAGCTTAGAAACACCTTCCTGACAGCTTAGCCACTACCAAAGCTGTTTTGAGATTTTAGTATCAGTATGGTCTTTGAAAATGCTCCATCAAGTCCCAATTTTGATTGCTTTGTTTACCTGCGATCTTCTTTTCCCACATGGATGAGGAAATAGGTGAAACAAGGAATCACATAAGGGAGAGGTAATGTTAAATTATGGGAGGCTGAGGCACATTCAGAAAAAAGAATAAGAAACACTGAGACTGGCAGCCTCTTGATAAAATAGCTAATTTATGCTCCCATCTGCCCCTCCTAGCTGAACTATCTAGACTTACATGCCTTATATACATTGCTACATGAAGCTAGTCAACCTGCTCCTGTGTAGGGGTAGAGACAGCAGGGGAAGTCAAGCTCTAAAAATTACCATTTGAGTTTCACCCCTTGTTTTACAAATTCATACCTACTAAGTTTTACCTCATTTACCTCTTAAGTATGAGAAAATTTGTGATCTGAAAATTAAATCAGTATTTTTAAATATGCTTAGAACATGAAATAAATTCTGTAAATGTGCCTGGCTTTGTTGGATAGTCACGGCAGTCTGAAAATCCTCAAGCTCCCATTATATTTTTTCAGCTATCTTAGCCAAGAGCCAAGGTAGGTGTACTCTGCAGTTTGTGTATTGGTATGTATTATTCTATACAAATCAATTACATCAAGTACTTAAAATTGTGTTGTCTAACTCTTTGATAGTCTTTGCTGTTCAGTTACTAAACTATGGATTAAATTATCCAATAAGCATTTGATTTTTTTTTGCATTTTATATTTTTTTATCAATTATCTGCACACCTAGCACAATGTTATACTACTAGCACAAAATTTGAATATCATATATTTCTGGTGAATTATAACTTAATGTTTATACATCATTCCTCTTTATTTCCAGCAGTGTTTATGCTTAATATAAATCTGTCTGTCATAAAGAGGCACAGCACCTGTTTATTTTTTTTTCTAGTTTGCCAATATGCTTCTGTATTTTTATACTCTTAAGTATGCATTTTAAACAGCATGTTGTTCCACTTTAATTTTAAGCACTTTTTATAGCATTTGACTTTTCACATTTAAACAACTTTTATTTAATGTAATTATAGCCTGTATTAAAGTTTTTCTAAATTTAACATTTGGTCTTTTCTTCATTCTTTTATTTTTCCATTCTTGCATGCTTAATGGTTTCACCATTTTCATTGTTTTTCCTTTTTTTCATCTATTACTCTTATTTGTAAATTCCATCACAAGCCAGTGACTTGGAAAGTCTACAGCTATCTAGCTATTCATAAGATATTAAATACAAAGAACTGTTTACCTGAGCCCAGAATTTACTGTCAGTAAGAATCATAAGATTGTGGTTAAATTGCATAGAAACAGACATTCTGTATTTATAAAAGCATAGTATGCTCTTAATGCCATCATAGGCATTACTAATAAAATGCTTTCTAAGTCCTTTAAGATTTCAGTGTGTTAAAATTGGCAGTAGACACGGAGTCATTTTCATTAGATGCTAATCACTGACATCTGTGCAGGGACAGAAAGATTATGCACACAACTCACACAATAGCCCATATTGCTAGCCTTTGATTTTTAACTTTCATCTCTGCATTTATTTTATTACATAACATATATATTATGGGGTATATTATTTTATATATATTTTCAAATACATAACTTTAATACTTATACACATATTGTATATATATATATGTCATTCTTAAATATATACTTCCAAATATAAATAATTTCACATCAAGCTAAACAGGATAAAAACATGTAAACATATGCACTTGGTTTTGGTCAAGTAAAACACGAAATCACAAAGTAACCACAAGTTAACAAGTGCACTTGAAGAGGAAAGAGGGAAAAAACAGACATGTAAACAAGACAGCAGCTGCAAGGCCCTGCAAGGGTCCATTTTTTAAGGCTATTGTGGCAAAAAAGCTCCTAATTCAATAAGACTTCTCTTTTCACACTGTCACAATTATTCTTGAGGAACTTCACAATGAGTAGAAATTCTGTAAACACTACACTATAACTGAGTAAATACTGTTGGAAACAGACATAACAAAACAAACCATCAACTGACAGAAATATTCATTTCACCAAACAGTAACTGTAAGGACATTTTGTTATTTTTTTAACACAGAAAACATCATAATCCTTGTGGGGAGAAATAGGGAATAGACAAGAAAACAGAGAAACACTGCATAAAGATTGCCTCAATAGCCCCTGAAAGCAATAGGCATGTCAATCAATAAAGGGAGAACAGGCAGCAGAACAGCAGATGACAGAGCCTCAGCAGACTAGACCATGTGCCACAGTATGATACTACGGATTAAAATTGAAATATTCTTCCATCTGATAATAAAGCCAAGCCCACTGATCATCAGAGAAAGGAAAACCAACTCTCATTGCAAGAAACCGCTTAAACAACAGATTGGCCAGGCAACGTATGACAAGCTCCTTTTTACTGCTTTTAAAGAGCATGTTGCTCTCTGACACCCGCACAGGCTCCAAAACTTGATGCCAGTATATGCCGGATGGGCCACCACCTCGCCTATGATGGCCCCAGTGGTATGTATGCTTGTAAAAACAGTTCTCTCCAAATGGGCAGTAACCCCTGCCATGAGCAAAATATCTGCAGTCCTTCTTTCTCATTCCCTCCTTGTATCGCTGAATAAGTTTCTCCTTCTCTTCCTCATCCTCCACCCAGAACTCACTGGGAGTGACAAAGCTGGAGGGCACCCTGCACTGTGGGCAGGACTTACTGATTCTGTTCTCAAACTGTCTGACACTTCTCCACCTGCGGATACATTGAATACAGAAGGTGTGGTTGCAGTTGTAAAGGATGCCAAAGCGGCGGTCGCAGGGGTTGGCTTTCTCATAGACAACCTCCATGCAGATGCCACACACTTTGTCCATGCTGCGCTGCACAGCAAACGAGAGCTCCATATCTCTCTCGTGTGCTTCCATGCAGGCACTTATATGAGCTTCCCGCTGAGCAGCATCCACGGGGTGTAAGGCCCGCAGCCCACACATGTCGCATATATCTCCGTGGAGGTAAAAACAGCTCTCCCCATTAAAGCATCGTCCCCTGGCAGCATAGCGGCAAAGCTGCATCCCCATGCCCACAGCCATCTGCTCTCTCTCAGGCACCGGCCTCTGTAGAGGAGCCTCGGGACCATACGGTGGGACCATGCGGCCTCGGTAGGGCTGCCCAGGAACAAACTCAACGGCACCCTCCCAGCCTTGTGCACCTGCTCCTCCGGCAGCTTCAAGGCCTGCATTGTCTGTCTCAGCTTCAAAGAAACCCCTTTCAGCAGCCCAGCCAATCAGAGGCAAGGAGCTTGAGGATGCAGCAGGAGGGGCTTCCGCCACTTCCTGAGTCGGGGGCTCGCTCTGCGCAGCCGCAGCCGCAGGCGCAGCCGCAGCCATACTAGGTCCTCTGTCTGCAGAGGCCTCAGGCGGTGAAACGTGGCCCTCCCTGGCCATCTGCCGCACAGAGGGGTCGTGGGAGTAGCGGCAGTTCTCCCCCTCTTTGCATTGCCCATGCAGATAATACCTGCAGACGATTTGCTTTCTCCAGGCGCCATTGTTCGGTTCCGGAAGAGGGTTGGGGTTGGCCCCGCCCCCTGCGGCCTGGGCGTGCCCCACAGCCTCTGTGCCGGGGTGAGCTGGGCCAGGAGCCACAGGGAATGAGGCCAGGCCCGAAGGCACGTCGGGAGGATTTACACCTAAAGTTGCAGACTCTCCAGAGACCTCGAACCCGGGGAGGCCCGGCCCAGACACACCCTCCCCCGCTGCCTCGGCACCTGCCTCGGCCCCATCTGCCTCGCAAGTTTTAAAGGGAGCTGCAGCCTCTTCCATAGCACCTTCTTGTCCCCAAAAAGGCTCCAGAATGTCTCTAGTTGTTTTAGGTTTAAAATTTGAAGCCGGGAGCTCCGATCGAGCACGGTGGCTTCTCTAGAAGAAGTGTTCACTTTTTTTCCTTCCCCCCTGAAACCTGGTCCCTGTGAACTTTGGTTCCTACTGCTTGTTCTGTAGGAAGTGTGTCGGACACTTCCTGTGGTGACACCACTTGCATGCTATTGGCTCTGCATTGTGGATCTCCAAGCTGACATTTTTCTTTTTGTTCTTGTGAGCTGGAGCGGCTACAGCCCCCTTTGTATGGCGTTTGCCACTCCTCCGGCTGTGTTCAGGCAGACCCTAATCCCCCCATTCATCACCGTTTTCTCCGGAGAATGAGGTTTTAATTAAATGTATTCAAGAATCCATTGTGCACATTTTATTTGATTATTTTTCCATCTGTTATAAAAAAATCATAATCCTTGCTTTCCCCCTTTGTTCCTGAAGCATTTTATTCACAAACCCTATAAATTTATTTTTTTGTTCACGCCATTTTATGTCTGTGGCTTTATTATTGTATTTTATTATTTCATTATTTACTCCGTGACTCTCCAGTGTTAGAAGATTTTTCTTGTTTTGTTGTGTTGACAAGAGAGCATTCCTTTTGGTCTTTATTGTTATTTTTTTTAACTTTAGGGGGCTTTCATTGTGCATACGCTTTTCACTAGCAAGGCATTGTCAGCAGGGAGCCGTTCTTATTCAAGGCTTGTCAGTGCTTGTCAGATGTCTTCCTTTGTAATAGTTCCTATCTCTAGCTTCCCCCAAAGTGTAGAAGCCGCAAATTTGTCCCGTCTTAATGCTGTCTTAATAAACCACTCTGCCCTGTGGGACCCAGGCTTTTTATTTTTACTGTTGATTTAATTCATGATGTCCATTGTTTCCCTTCCTTTCATCTATGTCCATACTCTGTTGCTGCAGTGCAGCGTCTCATAATGTATTCTTTGCCATACTCTCACAAGTGTTAAGTTTTAATTTCCATGAGAGAGCATCCTTTTGTTGTTGTAGATATATTTTATTAGATTAATAATTTCCATGTGTATTTTTAAATTGATAAGAGTACTTTTGATGATATCTCAAGTTTTATCCTGTAGTTTTCAGCATTTTGGGGAGAGAGAATTATTTTCTCTCCCTTCATTTTCTTTGCATGATTATTTGAACTTTAACGTCTCAAATATTTAACTTACTAATTATTTCCTAAGAATAAACCTGTATGTGTTTTTATGTCAGAACTTTATATAGTATTGGATCTTGTTTGCTAAAACATGTACCTTATAGGGATTTATAACCTGAATTTACATTTAAGAGTGGACAGAAGTTTAAATATTTATTATATACTCTTTTAGGTCATTGTATTAAGTCCTAATTAAAGAAAATTTTTTTAAAAAAATCATAAGCAAAGAAGTCAGAGAGTAGCAAATAATAAATATAGAAAAGCAATGAATTAAGAACAATAAGCATAAAATGAGGGGGCTAAGTCAAGCAAAATCCTTTGAAAGGATTTTTTGAAACTTATAAATTTCTGGTGCAACTTATCAGGGTAAAATGAAAAAGGCTTAAATAACCAAGATTGACAAAGCTCTGTAATTTAAAAAATATTATCACTAATTAATAACAAATACTAAAAACCAAAAGATGATATTAGGAACAAGTTTGACAATTAAACTTTAAAGTTGAAGTAGTCATACACCTATAAACAAATCTATTAATAAAAATGTCAGGTGCAAAAAAGAAATATAAGGATCTATTAAGTCAATTTAATATGCAATTAAAATTATTCTCCAAGTAAAGCTTATACAGCTTTCTCTCTTACATAAATATAAAGGCAGAAAAGCCTTTATTTATATTCTAAGTCCTGGCTAGCACATTAGGACAAGCAAAGGAATAAAAGTCATTAGAATTGTAAAGAAATTATTGGTGGAAAGCATCAGAAAATTGAGAATTATTTCAAGGTAAAATGCTGCATTTAGTAAGCATACTTAAAAGGACATTGGACAGAAATGCAATGAAATATTAGTGCTCTCTCTGTCTCTCTCTTTATCTCTCTCCATTCTATATAAGAAGTAAATTGGACATTTAACATAAAGCATTTTGTCAGTATTGAAAGTTAACTATCTGAGGTATTAAAATAGTTAGTACTGTACACAAGAGCTTGTGTGTACCAATTTCTCCACAGATTCACAAACACAAGAATTCTGAATATGTATAGATATATATATTATCTGTTTAATGTTTAATGTTATATTCCCAGACCTATGTCTAAGTCATGTTGGATCCCCCCCCTCTCTCTCTCTCTCTTTATTTATATATATCTATAAATAAATTTTATGCAGTAGAATTCTCTGTGATTAATTTATATATGAACCATTCTGTATAATATCCATGACCTCTTATGGCTACTGAGAAATTGAAATGTGGCTAGAACAACTGAGGATTTGAATTTTTATTTTTTAATTAAAAATTTAATAGCCACCTGTGACAATTTGCAACAAGATTGAACACTGAAGTTCAAAATAGTATTTGACCATCACAAGCCCTCAAACATAGGAATCTGAGAAATAGAATGTTTTCTAACCTGCTCAATGATATACACCTAGGATGAGTAATATCTGTTTTCATATTTTCACTGTATGGCTCCTGATTATGTTGATGTCCTACCATCTCATGTTTTTTGTATCTCCTAGTTTTACTTTGGCAATATTTCATATGTAGTATTATAAATATAATCAAACCTCAATATTTAAATATATGAGACCAAATAATTAAATTTATTGGGTAGTGCATCTTGTGAGAAATAAACAAATATTTCCCATCTTAGACAAAGTGCTATCCTTAGAGAATTTTCTGTGACTACCTTTGTCCATATTCATACTCTTTATTTATGATAAGCATTCATGTTTTCACATGTTTTTTGGGGAAGCACATTTGTGATATTTCTTTAGTTATTTATTTCAAAAAGCCTTCTTCCCTCAGAAAAAATTTGAGATTCCTCAGGGACTGGAACTTGGCTGATGAGCCACTTAGATATTCAGCATTTGGGGTTCCACAAGCAATAAGGGTAAACAAAGCTCCTACTGAAGGCTCTGCTAAAGCACTCACATTACCAGCACATGTAATAAAAAGTGATTTACAGCTTTGCAGAGTGGAGGCACAGTCCACACATTTTAACAATAGCTCAGGAGGTAGTAGGCTAGTTCAGAAGTGAACTATAGGGATAGGATATAAAAAAGCCAGATGGTTCTTCAGTCTCTCCCTACAAATAGCTCATGCTGCCTCCACATAATTAATATGTCTACATTGAAAAAACATGTAATGATCTCTAAGCAATTTCCCACATAGCACAGACAGATGCTGAAGAACAAAGGTTTAGGCACTATGGGAAGGGGAAGAGTTGGAGGAGAGATTAAATTCAAGTGGACAGAATTAAACATTATGGTTTCACATTCTTTATTCTCCTCCACTCACTTACTGGGATTCCTCCCTTGCATACATTAATTATGTTCCTTTACCTCATCTAGCAAACAACATGAAAAATAGCAGTAATAGTGATAATGACTGGTTCACAAGTTTGCTGTCAATATTAAATGAGATAGTTCTAATAAAATAAATGGAATAATATCTGTTACTAGATTCAATATATGAGATATCTATAAGTGTCTTTGCTATTTTGGAGTTAATCAAAGAACCCTGTAACTTGTTTTTATTCTCAATAAGTAAAACTTATTGCTATCTGCCTAGAGGGTCCCTAGAATTTCCTGGAACATGAGAAGCAGAAATTAATGCTTATTGTCTAATATTGATGACCAAACTGATTGTTATTTTGAAATTTAAAGAGCAAATTGTTTCTGCTTCTAATTCAGAAGATCAGATGTAGTTTATTTGAACAGTATTTTTTGTTTCCTCATTATTGTGATTATTACATCCTATTATGATATTATTGTGTTCTATTATAACAGAATAGATATCCTTAGCTCATCATGGGAGAGGGTATCCTGTGGATTATTTTAAGGAATCTGCATCTGGCCCCCCTAATTGTATACAATAAAATTATTTTAAAATGTCTTAGTTTCAATATGAATATAAAATAAAGATACAAATAATTCCACAGCTACTCATATATTTATTTTATTTAATATAATAAAAGTAGCATGATTGTAAAAATTATACTGGCTTATCTATTATAATCAAATGATCAAAGTGTCAATAAGTCTTCTGGAGGATTTCTGTGTCAAAAATTCAGCTACATTTCTACATTGTTGTAGTTAACAGAATTTTGTCATAATCAAATTGATAACACAAAACATATTTAAATTTTAATTTATAGCCAAATGAAATAGCTTCTATCAGGCTAATATTTCCATCTATAGTATTTATAGAAACTGTATGAATCCACAAAGTAACTGTTTAAAGTACTTATAAAACATCTATTGTAGTAAATTCTTAAGGGGTAAAATTTAGAAGAGCATTAACCTAAATAGCCAAAAGGCAATAGAAGAAAGCACAAAGAATATAAATACTTTCAACTGCATGACAGTAAATAGGTCACATACTAAAACATTTATTATGCACTGAAAGCTCTGCTTAGAGACAAAATTTTCATATAGTAAAATATTCATAAGAATGGAAAAAATCCATCTCCCCAAAGTAGAAAAAAACAAACAAACAACAAAAAGACAGGGTGGGAGGAATGTCAAATAATAATTTTGAATTCATCTTTCTTTTTTTCCCTACAAGAAGAGTTCCTGAGCGGCATTGTCAGATATAAAAACCTGTGCCACCTGTAATCTTATACAGATATGCTGGGCCAGAGAGGAAAAAAGTCAGTTAACCAGAGTTTTGGGTCCTTAGAGATAGAGTGCATATCATTTCATAAAAGAAACAAAAATATTCTTGTCATTTTCCATGTTCCTTTTCTTTTCAAAATTATTTGGGCATTAACTGAAGAGAATTGTGAATAATCACACTTAAGTGAATATAAGATGTATGTCATCTTGTATCTAAAATTTAGGAATATTTGTTAATGCTTATGACTACTAGGAGGAGCAGAAATAATTGACTGAATAGCAGAGAGAAAAAACTCCACAAGTT